TGGAGCTTCCCCCTCCAGCATTGTGCCTTCAACAGAGATGTTGGACTCCCTACAGAGTATACTACTCCCACAGTGCTTTATCAACATCTGTGTTCTTTGTGGAACGGTACCTCTTCTTACTTGGTTACATGTTACTTTTGTATTGAGTAAGGATTGCCTCTATGTGTCAGGATTTTTTGTGCCTGTGTTCTACCTATGCCAAACTTTTCAGCAACTTTGCAGTAGCCTTTGTTGGGGTGATCTTTGGCATAGGTTATCACCTGGACTCTTTGTTCTAAACTTTAACAGTTCCTCTTTGCTGTTTCCTTTGATGCTGAAGTTCGCAGAGCTCTTTTTTGTGGTGTTACTCCACTTTGTGTGTTGCTGGACAGTGGAGTGGTCTGTGGCTCTGAAAGGCAATTTGCATTCACTTCACTGTTGTTGTGACACAACAAACACATGGATAGGCTGTGACCAGATTTCCAGTTAAGAGTTTCCTCAGGAAGAAACACTGTGCAATCTGGTCTGTTGTATATGGGCCCTTGAGAGATTACACAAATGTATTTGGTTTCGGTTTTGCCCCTGTGACAAAACCTCAAAGAAAACATTATTTCCAGTACTTTCAGTTTACATCGGTTTACAATCAGTTTACATCATGTAAGAAGTGATGTGACAAAGAGTACTGTATCTTCTGCTTGTCAAAAAATCAGACTTTTTTTGGGGACATGCCACTTGTTTCCTATTGGAGCAGTCTATGTCATGCCTAGTGCTAGTGTTAATGAAAGTCACTTAACAACTACCGATCTCCTTGTGAGTATTGATTTGAAGGCAACAGTTTTTTTCTGTGGTTGGCAGCAATGGAAACTGGTCAAAGAGGAATTTGACACGTGTTCCTGTTGACCATGTAACGTAACAATGATGTGACCATTTAATAGAGGCGAATTACAATAAAATTAGCCAATTGGGTAGTCCATAGGGTGACTGCATCCCCTTAACAGATGTGAGCACTAAATGGAGGTCAAATAAAAAGTAAATATGTCAAATGAATTTTGAGAATTTGAAAAGTGACTTCTTGATAGAGGTTTGACTGTAATTCCATTCTAGGTAAACTAGTGCAGGAATTCATTTCGGAAAGCACCATATTCCTTTTGGTTCTTGATTTGCAATACCTCATGACTCTAGTTACCATTCTCCATGGCTAGTTATCTAGCATAATGTATTTTACTGGAATTCATGCTTTAATTTTGATAGTTCTGTTATGTACACAAGCATCTTAACGGTTAAATGTGGCCGTAGAAATAAATGGGCCTTACACAATTACACAAGCTCTTGTGAACTTGAAAGTAAAAATTTAGCTTTACTTCATGATTTGTCATCATAGATAGACATCAGTCTGGTTTAAGAACAAAACAATATGTCACTAAAGCCTCTTCTTTTTGGCCTATTTAGGACGAACCAACTTGAGTATATTTTTTTGTGTGCACATCTTTAACAGGAGGATGATCAGGAAGAGGAATGCACCTCTTGAACTAACCCCTCGCCAAGTTTGAACTTTGGATAGGTGACTCTGATATACCTTGTGACATCTGTTCGCTCTTGTGAATCTTTTCTTAATGTTCAGGCTGGCCAATATATGTATGGGAAAATTGAGGAAGAGTGCGACATGGAAAGAAATTCACAAGTTAACTACCAGAAATTGACAATGTACAAGGAAATGGCAAATTCCTGTTCCTGATTCTTGGCTTAAAATTACTGCAGTTGTATTCTCTTTAGAGGAGGGAAAAAGTTAGCCACCTTCCTTTGCTTCACATCCATATCACTTAATCAAAGATGTAGTGCGTTTAACAACAAACATATTATAAGATTCAGGAACAGCTTGTTAACAGTCTGGAAAACCACCACTTACTAAATGGAGCTGCTTATCTTGGAAAAATGAAAAGGAGTGTTACCATAACCTAGATTGCAAAGATTCAATGCTACAGTACATGGTTGGTCTTTTTTTTCAAACTCTCTTCTATGATTGGCTAGCACTTCAGGTGCCAGGGCTCAAGACTAGCTTAACTGTTTAACTTATTGACCTGTTGGCTAGTGAAATGACAGACATTACTAGCCAAAAGTGTTTTTTCACTACTAAGATATTTTGAATTCTGTCAGGAACTGTTGACTATTCTGATTTTTTTCTGGTTTTTCACCAGCCAAAGTGGTCAGTAGGAATGCTAAACCTGGTAGTCATAACCTAATTTTACTACTCCCAGGCTAGCTGGCTACCGTTTGTCTCAAGCCCTGGGTGCTCCTGAGAGCATGGTACATGTATGGCTTGTTGGAACTGACCTCTTTAAGAGCAACTTATTCCACTTTACTTCTGCAATCCTTGCCAGTGACAGCCTGCAAGTCATTGAGTAACAACTTGGGTTAAGTGAACTGTGGACAAGGATATTTGCCTGCTCACCAGTTGATAAAAGTCAACACAAATTTGGCCGTTTTTTTGGGTCAGATGGGAACTCCTCCTGTGCAGCTTGTGTTTTTACAGCTTTGATTATTTGGTGCTCTGACCACAGAATTCAAGCCACCTCTTTGCAATTTTTAGCAAGAAACTTATTTTGGTGCTTACCCTGGGCTTAAAATCACTTAATGGCTGGTGTATTATTTTAATAGGAGATTGCTTATTGGTGGTAATGAGTAAGCAATGAGTAAGTTTGGTTTGGATATTAGCTGCATTCTTCTGGATTAAACAGAAGGTCTAACAATAACCACCCCCCTATATGAGGTGATGGGGAACACATGCAGTAGCTGTGAATCCTTCTGGGTCCTTATCACAGGCAAATCTCCTTATCTGAGTTGCTGCACTTAATGTTGGAAAACAAATGGTTTCCATGGCAGTGCAGGTGGAATTATAAAATCCTTATGTTTCATACAAAGAATTAAAAAAATATAGGTTTAAAATAACTCTTTAATTCCATTAATTATTAAAGGTGTACAAGACACAAGAGAAACTGTTCAACAATCAATAGTATTGTTACAGTTTGAGAATCACAATATTGCAGAACTCTACAATATTGTCAAAGTATGAAACTTAAGATGAATGTGAAAATGCACAGAATCCCACATGGAGAAAATAATATAACATATGAAGTTTTCTTGCTGACTCTTTGTTATGTTAAATGCAGCGTTAACAATAACTTTGAAAAAGACATTTCAGCCAAAATCTTTTGCCTTTGCGAGTTTAGATTGGAAGAGTAAGCAAAAGCTTTTTTAATGGTTCATAGGTAGGGTGAATCAGGGGTTGGAAATTTGGTTAAGCGGTTTGTTGCGTCATTCCTGATATCCAGCAGATTTTTAAAATTTACTTGTGTATGTTCTTGCTTCATCAGCTTTCTACTTCAAGCTACTTTAGGTTTAGTAAAGATATTCTCCATTCAGGGTTGTAAATTGTTAGCTTTTCATTTTATTCAGATTCTTTATCCTAAGCCAACCATGTGCAAAAAGTAAGTAAATAAGTAATGATTAATACCTTTATTTAACTGTCAAGCTAAAATAGCANGTCAAAGTATGAAACTTAAGATGAATGTGAAAATGCACAGAATCCCACATGGAGAAAATAATATAACATACGAAGTTTTCTTGCTGACTCTTTGTTATGTTAAATGCAGCGTTGACAATAACTTTGTAAAAGACATTTCAGCCAAAAATCTTTTGCCTTTGCAAGTTTAGATTGGCAGAGTAAGCAAAAGCTCTTTTTAATGGTTCATAGCTAGGGTGAATCAGGGGTTGGAAATTTGGTTAAGTGGTTTGTTGCATCATTCCTGATATCCAGCAGATTTTTAAAATTTACTTGTGTACATTCTTGCTTCATCAGCTTTCTACTTCAAGCTACTTTAGGTTTAGTAAAGATATTCTCCATTCAGGTTGTAAATTGTTAGCTTTTCATTTTATTCAGATTCTTTATCCTAAGCCAACCATGTGCAAAAAGTAAGTAAATAAGTAATGATTGATACCTTTATTTAACTGTCAAGCTAAAATAGCAGTTATAAAACCACCAATTGGGGCACTTTAACATAAAAATAACAAGTTCTAACTATGTTTAAAAGCTAAAAAAGTAAAAATAAAAGTTTTTTAAGCCATGTAAATAGCAACAGATCGTTAATTGTGTTTATTAGAGAACCAATTGAAAGATGGCAAACATACCTTTCCAAATTTTGTTTATTTTGCCTCTGATTGAAATTGCAACATTTAAATTTTCTTTTATGTTCTTTGCTCACACTGCCACTGGGAATATTCTTAGGAGAGAGAGATGGACTTGCTCTTCTTCATTTGCCGTGTTGCTTGGAATATACACCTATTAACCTATTAACCCTTGTTTCAGCACAACGTCTTTCTGACTTTCTTTGACTCGGTGATATTCTGTGTTCTTTAACTCTTTAGTCGATAGAGGACCCTCTAGGCCTCATGTCACTTTTCTCCCCATTTGGTTGTGGTTTTGGTTCCAAATTAGTGTTAGCATGTTAGCATGTTAGCAGTACTCTGACCAGCTTTCTCCAATATGAGAATGTTTGGCAATTGATAGGGTGTTCTACTTTGATTTGAACACAAATGTTGTGACATTTGAGGTGTTCTTCATCAACTTTGGATTAGTCATTGGTTAAAGAATTTGTGGCCACTCAAATTCAGGCAAGGAAAGATAATAATAGTTAGAAAACAGGATGGAAGTGACTTTGGGGATTCATTACCCAAAAATATAAGAATCTCTACAAGTAAATTTGGAATGTCCCTGGCTGGGAAGTTCCCTAGACAGGAAGGTTAAGGATGTTAAGACAGCTCAAAATGGTTCATCAAGTCCCTGTGAGTAGTATAGCACAGCGGTATATAAGAACTGACCAATGACGTAGCCCCATTCAATACCACGTGACACAAATCAACCAATCACAACACTTGGATTTTACACGTGACTTTTAATAGAGAACAATGGGCTACGTCACAACTTCTCATAACCTAATTTCTAAAAAGATCAATCCAAGAGATGTCTAAAAGTTTGAAACAAAATTAATACAGCATTCTACTAAACGTCTGTGCTGACAATCAGGATTCACACATCTGGTGACATGGGGACAGTTCTGGTTTCTGAGTAGGTGGTTACAATTTGGATTTCCACAACGAATTAAGCGACGTGGTGCTTGATTTATTGGTTGATCCTCCGTCCATTCTTCACTGTCACTATCATTGTATTCAGGACTAGTGTTAGAACTACTTGTGGAAGGATGAGTGATGTTGTTTGCATTGGTTGATGTTGTTGTGCTCGACGATGATGTGACTGTGATCGATGATGTTGTTGGGGGTGGACTGTTGGTTGATGTTGTTGTGCTCAATGATGATGTGACTGTGATCGATGATGTTGTTGGGGGTGGACTGACTGCTTGTGGGGGGGTGTTTGTTGGTGTTGTTTGTGGTGACCGGTCACTGTCTTCAGAGGGAGGACTATTTGCTCTTAAATCGGAGGCGTCATCTTCTTCCATGTCAAATGGGTTGTTTTCTTGATCGATTACTGTATGAGGAGGGGGGATGATTAAGGGTTCCCCTCGCGTGTCTCTTGCTCTTCCGTCATCTGTATAAAAGGATGCTCTTAGTGATGTTGCTCCAAAGGACAAAAGAACTGGAGTTGGAACGAGTCTGGAGCGATGACTGTTGGTGAATAAACTANGCAATTGATAGGGTGTTCTACTTTGATTTGAACACAAATGTTGTGACATTTGAGGTGTTCTTTGTCAACTTTGGATTAGTCATTGGTTAAAGAATTTGTGGCCACTCAAATTCAGGCAAGCAAAGATAATAAGAGTTAGAAAACAGGATGAGAGTGACTTCGGGGATTCATTACTCAAAAATATAAGAATCTCTGCGAGCAAATTTGGAATGTCCCTGGCTGGGAAGTTCCCCAGACAGGAAGGTTAAGAATGTTAAGACAGCTCAAAATGGTTCATTAAGTCCCTGTGGCTTGTTTTAGACAAAGGTTGTCAAGGAAGGAATAACCAGTTTAGATGACTTGGCTTACCTTAAGCATGAGCCTATTTTGAATGAATTAACCCTAAACAAGAAACATGTATATTATTTACAGTCACAATACCAACTGTGCAACATGTTTTACTTAGAACAGGGGTAGCCAATGCTGGACGCAATTCAAAACGATTACAATTCAACAAACCTTAGTCTAAAGAAATGGGAAGATGACACATGTAGACATAGGCAGCATTAAACTCGACCCTCAGACACCCCTAAAATTGTAGATATAGGGGCAGCAATGGGATTCTCTGCCTCAGTGACCTGTGTGATGTGCTTGATTTCTTTGATTTCCTTGTACAATGGAAGCTGGCATGGGTGTTTTCTCATTTTCTTAAGTAAAGTGACATAGTGAAAAGATAAATTACATGAACACTCTGTATATTGGTAGGACCTAGTAGTGCACTTTTCTTGATACTTGACAAATTTTTCAACTGAGCCATAATGAATTTTTCCTTGTCTTTCAGAAATGACGGTGAACTTATTTCTGGCTGTACAATGTAGTTCTCTCATAAAAGGAACTCTTGAACTCTGTAGCATTGATGTTTGCCCATCTAAAAACAAATATCTTGGAGACTGCCCTGCTGACAAGCTTGTTGTCGGACATGGCGTGTTTGATATAAGTAAAGAATGAAAGTTTAAAACAAACTTAATCTGTCTTTCCCGCGTCCTTTTCTGCGCACTTGGCACACAACACCTCTTCTTCTTCTTCTGCAACCTCGTTGTCAAATGCTGCACTCAAAAGATCGGCGGTTGCGCAAATGACTGTTTTGTTTAAGTCGTACAACACATTCGAGATAGCAAAAAAGGTTAAGAAACAGACGAGAAACTTGGGAGCATGAACTGTGAACATGTTGATATATTCCACTCGGAAAAGTTTAAAACAAATTTATCTGTCTTTCCCGCTTGCTCTTTATTTCAATTTGGGTGCCTTTCTGGGAATTCCAGGCAAAAACTTTGTTTGGTGAGTCCGCACACAGCACACTTCACTTTTAGCAGTCACTGGTTGCTTTTTGTAGCAACAATTTTTGCTGTTCCTTGGATGTTCGGCGTCACTCGCCCGTCTTTCACACAGTAGGCTTCCATCTGAGTATATTTTCAAGAAGCTTTTCTCCAAACTGTGTTAATTTAATCTTCCTTCCCCGCGGCTTCTTCTTCTTCTTGTTCTTCTCTTCTTAATATTTCTGATAGTCTTCTTCTTACTTCTTCTTGTATTTCTCTTTGTCTTTCTCTTTCTTCTGCACCCTTATCAGCAAACATTTTGTTGTAAAGCTGCATCACCTTTTTGACAGCATTTCTGGTAACCTCAAACCAAAACATCCCAATTCTGCCCATTGCAGCTGAAGAGATGAGAAAGTGTGCAAAGGATGGCTTCGACATCGTGGATATACATTGCACGCAAATGTTTAAAGCATTTTTCTTAATCCTTTTGGCCGTGTTGCACGAGCAGGTTCTGGCTCGACACTCATGGGCTCAGGTGCGGGCTCCAGCCGATTTCCAGCTGGACGCTGTCTGTACTGTTCACAAGGCGCTTGCCGCTTCCATGCATTTCTTGGTCCGCCAGGGAGTGCATATCAATCAGAAGCCCGAAATTGTCTCCGGTGTAAAACTTTGTCGCATCCATGTGCTTGGTTTTATTTTTTTCCTTCACAAAGAAGCGTTGGGCCTCTTCCCACATGTCCTTGCCTTCGACGCCGTTG